AAGAATGAAGTAGCAATTTTATTTATTTATTTATTTATAAATCTCTATGTATGAATTAACTTAGTGCTCTACGCTGTGAGCTACTCCTGGGGTTGAAATTCCAGAGAGGGTGGTTTCCTGGAGTTCAGAGTCTGAGATGTTATGAAAAGTCAGAAAACAAAGAGGTGATTTATGGAGTTGTGAGATCAGGGTAGCTTGGGAAGCAGACCACTTATTCCTTCAATTTGCAGTTACACTTGGAAAATGGAAGTTCAAGGAAACGAACGCAGGGGTTCCGTGACCTCTTCTTTCCTTGAGTTGATTTTTGTTGTGTTTTGGGCAGTGGTCAGGCTCAAACAAATTAAAGTCTACGGTAATAGGTTCTTGCAGTTTTTAGGGAATGTGCTTCGCTGATCACAGAATCGTAGAATGGTTGGGGTTGGAATGGACCTTATACATCGTCTAGTTCCAACCCCCCTGCCATGGGCAGGGACACCTTTGCTGAACTGTCTTCATCTTTGAATTGTTTCATGTTTGCCTTCTTTTTACAGTTGCCATTTTCCCCAAAGGTCTTTTGTGTGTTTTATATGTATTTTATTCTCAGAATTGCAAGGACTTGGGGCTTTTAGATATCAAACACAAGATCTGACTTAAGGTGTGTATTTTTTTAATCCCTGGAGTCAGACCATATGTTTTATTTTCACAAGATCTGAGCCTTTGCAACTCTGACTGAAGTCAGCAGAAAAGTATACGTAACTGTTGCCTTTGAAAATCAGAGCTTTATGCTTTCAATTCCACCTTCAAAATCAGTGACCAGCCCAGAACTGAGTCAGTGAGTTGCTACTGAGGCACAAGAACAATAGAAGACCCTGAAAACAAATAAGTCATGATCTCTTAAGGTTTTTAACAAGACTTTACATGCCTTGGGCACTGGTAGGTTGCAAGGGTTATACTGGTGCAATTGTAACTGAAGTTATTTGTAAGGCAAATTCTGAGGGGTTTTTAATGGTTTGCTTAGGTCAGAAAACAACTGCTGACCTCTTAGGATGAACCCAGGAAAAATTGGTGTGATAGCCAGGAAAGTTTATTTGAGTTTTGCCTTTAAAGTTTAAAAATGTCCTGGTATCCTAATAGTTTGAAGAAACTCAGCACAAATAACTTTTAAAATAATGTCATGCATCTTTCTGTTTTGTGGATTGCATATTATGTGGTAGAGATGCCTCTGAGTGTGATAGAATATTGGATAGTGGAAATTGTGTTGCTTCTTGTGTGAATTTCTTTGACAGATTCTGTGAAAGAAATTGGTTAAAGCTGTTGTAGCTTTTTGGCCAGCTCCAGAACAATACTGAGTGGTACCCTAAAATGGGTTGAGCTTGGGAGTTATTTCTCAAGTATTTAATCTGTTTGCTTTCTTTTGTAGGTACCTTGAAATGGAGTGGGAAGCTAAACGAAAAACGCATCGAGAATTCAATAAATCAACAATGATTGGCCTGTGTCCTACAGTGCCTAAACAAGATAACAGCAGTGATTGTGGGGTCTATTTGCTGCAATATGTGGAAAGCTTCTTCCAGGTACATTCCCCTTTCCCCGAAATCACCTTAAATCCAAAAGAACTGTTTCTAAGGTAAATAGCCAGACACAAAAGCCTGTGATGCTCAGCCTCAAAAGTGTCAAAGGTATTTGAGGAAGAGGAGATAAAACTCAGTCTTCAATTAGTGGCAGGGATCTTTGTACCTGGAGCACAGACAGTTTCTCATTTGTATTTGCAGGCAAACATTTCTGACCTTGCAGTTTAATGTTGCATTTCCCTCACTATTTGGGTGTATTTGGAGTCTACTTAGTTTACACACTTCTGGCCTGCAGATGTTACAAAGGCATCTTTTCTGTGCGTCTCTTCTTGTAGCCTCTATAACTTTGATCAGCTTGTGCATTTGCCTTTAAATGGCTCTGCAGGCAGCAGCTTCTGCAGAGAGAGGGAGGGGGGAATCCCTGATAGGGAATGCTCAGAGCTAAGGGAGCCTCTTTTTCCAATTCAGCACAAATTTTTAAACATCTGCAGGTGCTGGGCTTCGGGCAGTGTCTTTTAGGGTGTCCCCAGCTCTTCCTCTGCCTGATCCGTGCACTGCCCTCTTGCTCTGTCCTTTGAATGGCTATACTTGTTTGATGCTTATGCCCGCGGTCCACATTCTCTCTGAGTGTTCTGTGCATGGAAAGCCTTGTGTAGGGCCTTGGCCAGTGGACAGATTTTTCTTCTGTAAGTAGAACAGATCACCATTCCAAAGCGCCTGTACAGTAATGCACACAGCGTGGGGAATAAATGTGAGGAATTAGAGATCTGTGTGCAGTTGCAGGGCCATGATCTTGTTGAGATCATGGGGACATCGTGGGATAGCTCACATGACTGGAGTGCTGTGATGGATGGATACAGGCTTTTGAGGAAGGACAGGCTGGGAGGAGAGGAGGTAGAGTTGCCCTTTATGTGGGTGAGCAGCTGGAATGCATGGAGCTCTACCTAGAGTTGGATGAGGAGCCAACTGAGAGCTTATGGGTAGTGACTAAAGAGCAGACTAATATGGGTGACATAGTAGTGGGCATCTGCTGTAGGCCACCTGATCAGGAAGAACAAATGGATGAGGCCTTCTACGGACAGCTAGAAGCAGCCTCACATTCATGGGCCCTGGTCCCTGTGGGGGACTTTAACCACCCTGACATCTACTGGAGGGACAATAGAGCAGGACATGGCAATATAGGAGGTTCCTGGAGAGCATCGATGACAGCTATCCAGGTGATAGAGGAGCCAATGAGGAGAGGTGTTCTGCTGGACCGCATACTCACAAGCAAGGAAGGTCTGGTTGGGAATGTGAAGGTCAAAGAGAGCCTTGGCTGCAGTGACCATAAGATGGTGGAGTTCAGGATCACGAGAAGGAACAGGGCAAAAAAGCAAGATTGCAAGCTGCGACTTTGGCTTCAGGGATCCTCTTCAGGGATCTGCTTGGAAGAGTTCCATGGAAATAAGGCCCTGGAGGGAACAGGGGTCCAAGAAAGCTGGTTGATATTCAAGGAACACCACCTCCGAGCTAAAGAACAGTTCATCCAGACAAGCAGGAAGTCAAGCAAAGATGCCAGGAGGCCTGCATGGATGGAGGAATAGCTCCTGGTAAAACTCAAAAGGAAGTGTACAGAGGACAGAAGTAGGGACAGGTAACCTGGGAGGAATACAGAGACACTGTAGGAATAGTGTCACTGTAGTATAGAGACACTGTATAGGAAAGCCAAACCTAACCAGAGTTTAATCTGATGAGGGATGTCAAAGGCAACAAGAAGGGCTTGTGTAATTGTGTAAGCAGCAAAAGGAAGAGTAGGGAAGATGTGAACTGACTGCTGGATGGGGCGGGGGCCGTGGTGACACAGGACATGGAAAAGGCTGAGCTTCTGAATGCTTTCTTCATCTCACTCTTTACCAACAAGACTAGTTTTCAGGAGTCCCAGGCCCTCGAAAGTGGGGGAAAGACTGAAGTAAGGAAGACATACCCCTGGTGGAAGAAGATCAAGCTAGGGAATACCTAAACTGGACATAAGTCCGTGGGCCCTAGTGTGATGCTCCCATGAGTGCTGAGAGAGCTGGCTGATACCGTGGTGACACCACTCTTGATAATCTTTGAATAGTTGTGGCAGTTGGGAGAGGACTGGAGGAAAGCAAATGTCACTCCTATCTTCAAAAATTGGCAGGAAGGAGGACCTGGGGAGCGACAGGCTGGTCAGCCTCATCTCAATCTCTGGGAATGTGATGGAGCAACTGATCCTGGAAACCATTTCCAGACATGTGAAGGAAAAAGGGATTGAAAGTAGTCAGCATGGATTCACAAAGGCAGGGGGGAGTCATGCTTGACTAACCTGGTAACCTTATGTGAAGAAATGGCTGGCTTGGTAGATGAGGGGAGAGCAGTGGATATTGTCTACCTGGACTTCAGCAGGGCCTTTGACAAAGTCGCCCGTAAGATACGCGTAGAGAAGCTGATGGGAGTATGGGCTGGATGAGCAGACAATGAATTGGACTGAAAACTGGCTGACTGGATGGGTCCCGAGGGTAGTGATCAGTGGCAGGCAGTCTAGTTGTAGGCCAGTAAATAGCAATATGCCCTAGGAGTCAATACTGGGTTCAGTCCTGTTTAACATCTTCATTAATGATCTGGATGTTGGGGCAGAGTGCACCCTCAGCAAGTTCACAGATGACACAAAAGTGGGAAGAGTGGCTGATATGCCAGAGGGGCGTGCTGCCCTGCCAAGGCACCAAGCTGAACATGTGCCAGGAGTGTGTCCTTGCAGCGAAAACGGATAGCAGTATCCTGGTCTATGTTAGGAGGAATGGTGCCAGCAGTTCGAGGGAGGTGATCCTTCAGCTCTTCTCAGTGTTGTGTCCAGTTCTGGTCTCCCCAGAACAAGAGAGAGATGGTGCTATTGGAGCAACTCCAGCAAAGGGTCACAAAGGTGATTAAGGTACTGGAGCATCTCTCTTGTGAGGAAAGGCTGAGAGCGCTGGAACTCTGAGAGAAGGCTCGGGGGGGATCCTATCAACGTGTGCAAATATCTGAAGGGAGTGTGCAAAATGGATGGAGCAGTCTCTTTTCAGTGGTGCCCGATGACAGGACAAGAGGCAATGGATGCAAACTGAAACACAGGACGTTCCCTCTTAATGTAAGGAAATTATTTTTTTTACTGTGAGCATGACCAAGTGCTGGTACAGTTTGCCCAGAGAGGTTGTGGAGTGTCACTTCTTGGAGATATTAAAAAGCTGTCTGGACATGGTCCTGGCAACCGGCTCTAGGTGGCCCTACTTGAGCAGGGGAGTTGGATTCTTTACCAGTGCTTTTGAACTGTCCGTTCTCTAACAGCGGGGTCTTGTTCTGCTTGCAGAAGCAAGGCCAGGATGAGGTGGTTGTAATTTGTCCTAAACATACGACATTGTTCGTGATGTGTTTTTTGCTTTGCTTTTTCAATTTATCGTATACTCCTTTATTCAAAGGAAGAAGGTGAAATACAGGAATGACAAAAGAATGAAGGGGGAAAGAGGAAAAAATATTGACTGTGGCAAATCAGATGTGATGTTTTGGTCTTACTGCAAAAGCTGCAGCCATCTCTCAGCCATTTCAATTTGCTGTCCTCTCTTGTTCCGAATTCTCCCCCTCTCATGTTCTGCTAAAACTGCTATCAGTGTTCTTGCTTCTTTGTTGTCTTCTATCAGACAGACCAGCTCATGACAGGAGAACACGTGCCTGAGGCAACAAAACCTCATCATGCTTAACTGCTGTGTGCTTGATCGTTCCCTGTAGTGTGATTGTACGTGTGTGTGTTGTGACCAAAGTGCATCTGTCCCTAGTTATGTCGAATTGTATCATAGTACATGTAATCTGCTTTGAATATGTGCTTACAGTGATGTATCTTTAAAAGAAGAGGCAGTAACCTGTTTGGTGTTTACCATGAGTAGGTTGTGGTAAGGGTATGTATATATGTGATTACCATGGAGGAACTGAAATTTGACTTGGAAGTCTGTCACCATCTCCTGGAAACTTGTTTGTGCCTCCTTAGTCTCAGCAGTAATGGAGGGTTTGAAATTCTTTTTGAAGGTTGCTTTAGGAAATTGATGCTGTAAATACTCCTTTTTCTGTTACCAGAACCCCATAGTTAACTTTGAACAGCCACTGCACCTGGAGAACTGGTTCCCTCGTCAGCTGATCAGAAGCAAAAGAGAAGAGATTCGAGACCTCATCTTGCAACTGCACTTTCAGCAGCATAGTGGCAGCAACAGCAAATAAATCTAAGAAGCCAGACCTGGCAAAGAACGTTGCTGTATAAAGTAACTGGAACTCTGCTTAGCAGCATTTGGACTCTTTTCTGCCTTGCAAGGAAGAAAAAAAAAAAAAAAGAACCATGAGAAGTATTTTGTTTGTTCAGTGTGTATTTATTTAAATAATTTCGTTTTATTTGGTTTGTGTGGCCATAGAATGCAGTTGGGAGGGGAGAGGAGGTTGTAGATATAAGTGTAAATATGTAAGTTAAAGGTAATGCACATAGATTGCTAAATGATTCTTTACTTGGCATATGAAAGCTGTGTACAGGTATGTGCCACAAGGATATAAAAATGTTTTCATCTTTTAAAGTGTATTCTTTACAGTTCCATTTAAAATGGATGGTCGTGTAGGAGTCAGGCCTGAAGACAGGATTTTGACCCTATACTGTGTCTCTTTCTATTTTGCACCGCATACAGATAGAATGAATACTATGTATTGTTTTCATTTAAGGATCTAATATTGACTCTCTCTAGAGATGTATTTTTTGTTTTGTTTCTGATTATATACAGAAGTAGTCTGTATGTGTAAGAAGATTCTGCCAAGATTTGAGGCTGCTGAATTTTTTTTTTTTTATTTTTTTCCCCTCCCTAGCATTTTATTCATAAGAATTAATTTCCATGAATGGAAGACATTTGCTTAAGAGCGACTGTTGAAATCTTTTAAAGTTGAGAGTGGTATTTAAAGTATTTCTCTGATTTTTTTCTCATCAGATTTTAAAAGAGATCTTGCTCTCAAAGTACATGCCAATGCAGTACATGTAGCCAGTAGATCTTTAATCTTATTTGCCTTATTTTGGGGAGTTATACCTGCGAGTCTTTTGGCATCACTTGCATTAGAAAGGCAAGCAGTTGTGGCACTGAAAAATAAGGCTATTTTCATTCAAAAATGTCATTATGTTATATATATACATGGTTTACATATATGACAAACAGGATTTATACTTTGCTCAGGAGAATTGAGTAAAGATGCCCGAGTATTTGAACTCGAACTTGATTTGATAAACTAGCAGAATTTTATCATCTTAATCCATATGTATGTAGTTTTTCCTCAAAGTGATCACCTGCAACTTCAATAACATTTTGACATGTGCACACTTTCTGTAGTTACTGCATGATAGATGGTGACTGTTTTAAAAGGATACTTTCTCCTGTTCCCCACTGTAAGTAAACTTAAGGGTCATTGCACCCTTCAGAAGGACTACATGTCAGATAACCACCAAAACCAGACTGTTATGACCGTTGTCATAAACGTATTGACAAAACTAGAGCTCTTAAAGCTGGAAGTAGGCTAGAGAGTTAAAATAAAAATTGAAGGCAACACAAAGGTGTGAAGATTTTTATGGCATTGCCAAATTCTCAGGGCCCCTTCCTGAAACCTAGCACTTGGAATATCTAATTATTACTTCAGGTTCTGTCCAGACGTCCAAAAAAATCCCCCAGCATTCTTTCTCAAACCGGGAAGCATTCTTTCTGGAGAAGAGAGGCAATTTTAAAATAATTTGCTGAGCGCAGCTACCTTCTGTATAGCTGTGAGCAGCCTAGTGCAATTACTGTGTGTTTTTTGTCTTTATTTCTACTTTAAGTCTGTAGTTTGTCACTATGCCCCTATCGACATCTGTCTCCCTCATCCCAGAGATTTTGTGGCTTTCATCACCTAAATCACAGCATCAGCATTACTTACAGGGATGCTTTGTGTATTTAGACAGATGAAAGATAAAATGTGGAAATGTGTGCCCTTTCTCTACACCTTTTTGATTCATGCATATTTTCAGTGTGCCCTTATGACGGATAGTTTGGGCTTTTTCTTATGGTCAAGTTAGTTTTTATTATGAAGTAATTTGTTCTTTTTTAGATTGACTGGTTTATAGATATTTGAAAGCAAACAATGTATAAACTTTTCTAAATTGGTTTTATAACATTAAAGGATTGCCTTTGTAGATTTGTTAGATATGTGCTATGAGATTGCCAATGCATTTGATATTAAAATTATCTCTGGAAGTTGCTGAATGTGATTGTTTTCATTCTTTTCCCAGCTGCCACAAATGGCCAGTGAGCTAAGTGTAAGATAGGCCATCTTACTGCTTTTAAGGTATATACACGCTGTGTGTCTCTTAACCCAAATTTGTGTCAAAGTGGTTATTTGTTCTCCAGTCCTTATAAAGGTATGCAGCTAGTTCACAGCTTCTTGTGGCAAGCAAGACTGCTTTATAACTCAAGAGCCTAACAGTTGTATTCTGTAATTAGGCGAACAGGCTTGACAGCCTGAAGGACTAGCCTGGGAAAGGCCTGCATCCACCCACCGCAGCCCACCCGGATCCAGCCGTTTGCATTTCACAGATATGCGATGAGTGCTAGGAAGTGTCTGTGGAAAAAGTTACACTCCAGGTACCTTCATGCTTCCTTTTTAGTTGCTAGAAGTCCCCAAAGATAACTTTTGGCATAAATAAGGCACCAGACTGACTCAGGGACCCGTTTGTACATCACCTGCATCTCCATTTCCTCTATTAATCCCTTTTTAACTGAAATGGTGGGGTGGTGTGATACTTCCACACAAACCAATCTTTGTAAGGCTCTTTACACTGTATAATTTTGGTTTCAAGGCAATGAAGTGTACTCAAATTGTTACATGTAGCCACCAGTTTCTTTAAAAGAAACTGCTACAAATCTGGCTGTGTGGCACCAAAAACCGGCTTCCATGACAAATCTGAGTCATGGGGATCTGTTTAAGCTACTGTTGGTAAGCATGACACAAGAAACAAGGTGGGAGGGAAGTAACTTGTAGGAAGTAAGTCTTCCAGGAAAAACATAAAACCCCCCATAGTTTTCATCGAGAAGTGGCGAAGTGAATCATGAAATTGCAAAGGTACTTTTTTAAAAGTACCTGTGGACTGCTGTGTTTTTGATCTGGGATTGCAGGCATAGATCCATTGCAGTCCATCTGTCCTTTCTGTGACTTGCCTCCGAGAGTTTGATCCTGAAATGAGCTTGCAGTATTCTGTAAGTACTACACTTTACAAAATAATAAAGACTTAAAACCCTTAGTAGTAACACTTTTATCTTGATTATGACAGGGAAACAGAATATTGCTTCTGGCAACTCCCCCCAAATAAAGACTCTGGTTTCTAGATGGAAAAGCAGGAATTCTAGAATGAGACTTGAAAGGTCTCAGGATTGAAAATGTTTCCATTAATGGTTGAATAAATCCAAGACTAATAGCAATACTTCTGTCCAACCATGTTGAAGTTGGAAACACTGTTCACACCGGGATCATCTTCGACTGTTGAGCAAGGTAAGAGATACTTATCTCATCAACAGTTCAGAACAGGAGGGATGCTGAGGATAGGCTTACGTTGCAAACAGTAGATAATGAAGTGTTAGATCAGTTTGGTTGACCTCACTTTCTGATTTTTCTGCTCCAAATACTTTACAATACTACACGATGGAAGAGGTGGCAGTACAACAGGTTGTGGTGGGCTGAATTTGCTCATCTGGAAGGCTGGACAGACTCACACCTTGTTTATTCTTGGGAGACAGTTCACCAGAGGACTGTCCAGGAGCACAAGCAGTAAGTGGCAGTGGTGAAATGCTTGGCAACAGCAATCACAGAAACTGAACAAGCGAGAAGTTCTCATCTAAGCTAATTTTCTCAGATAAATTGATTGGGAGTTTTGTTGGTGAGTCCTGTCAAATGCCATCAAGTCTGTTGCTGTAGTCCAGTCACAGGAGACAATTTATAATTCTGGTATTAAGCCCTGTGAGGCTGGAGATAAGGAGTGTCTGCCGTTATATAGCTCTTCGTTAGAGGCATTTTCTTTAAGGTATAGCTTTATTTTGCATTATTTATCTACAGGCTACAGATGAATAGATTTAGCTTTTTGAATAGGTTGCGTTTGAAAACAATGAAATTACTTAAAAGTTTGTGTGCTGTAGCAGAATTTCAGTGACCATTACCTTGTAGAGAACTATAATTCAGCTTAATCACATCTGCTATGTGAAAGCACATGTGCTTTCTTCTCAGAAATTCAAATTGTCAGAAAATTGTCTTTTTATTTTTGGAGGTGCTGGTGTGACCTTGGCTTGTTAGGTCACTAGGATTATACTTCCTTTTTTTTTCCCCAGCAAGAATATACTTTTCCTAAATACTTTTGAACGGATACAATTTGGCTGTTGGAAATCAAGAATTCTGCATCTTCTGATGCAAAGTATTACTGTAAAGGCTTTAGTCAAATCAAGGGAGGAGTTAATTTTCCAAGGTTATTTTTGAAAACTATTGCAAGAGTTGTTTTGCTTATTATAAGAAACTTTAAATGATGATTGCACTTTTAGTTATGCATTTTGCTATCATAAGTGTTGCAAATCTAAACTTGAGTGCTGAAATCAGTGTTGAATTGAAAATTGTTAGTTTGAACTATTATTAATAAAACTGAATTTAAATGTTTAAAATATTTTATCACAGAGAAGCTGACATAGCTGTACCATAGAAACAAATTTTGACAGAGATATAAAGCAGGTAGTTTTTGTACTATTCACATTCTGAGTGCCTTTGAGTTCTTTGCTGATGAAAACACCAACAATGCCGTAAATCTGAGCATTCTCCAGGAAAACTTTTTTATGGGTTTCATACTCTTACTGAAGCATGCGTATTCTGAGTATTTTGCCTAAAAGGATTAGTTGTCATGCATTCTTGAGGTAAGTTAGCTTTTGCCTTTGTAAGGATGTATAGTATTTCTAATCTTGATTCAGTTGCGTTTTTGCAGGGTAGTGCAAGCAAAAGCATTCATGACATTGGAAACACCAGTCTCTGCAGAGGATTAAAGAAAAAGGCTGGTCTGCGTTATTGAATCCAGGACTGTAATAAAGGTACCCAGCCTAGCCTCAGAAGTTGCTCTGTCTACCTAGAGATGCTGAATAGGACTTTGAAACAGTTCGTGAGCACCAGCGCAATGTTGTTCCTGTGCCTCGTGT